TTACTTTCAAATATCCTTTCATTTCAAAGTTATTTTTTATTGAATATTCGTGAGAGAGATCATTATAAAGCTATTCATGATTGGGTTTCAGTCATGCAATAATGCTACAACCATCCCTCCAGCAGTGTCCATTCCCCTTTCCCTCCCACCATCCCCAAGCAAACAACCCCCTCTCCAGAGTGCCTCTGTGACAATCACTTTTCTTCTTTCTCTCTCTCCTTTTGTGAATTATGGTTTGCAATAAAGGTACTAAGAAGTCATCATATTTGTTCAAGGAGCTCGGGATTTTTATCAGGAAGGTGCAGCTGGACTAGCTTTTTTAACTGACTGGCAACTTTGGGGTGTGGATGTGACTGCTGAGGAAGTTCAGGGAGGTGGGAGAAGGTAGACCATCCCAGCCTTCAGAAAGCCTGGAGATTTCAGTCACAAAACCTGCCTACCCAAATTTTCAGCAGATTATACTTCGGTGAGGCCCTGATAGGATGGAGTCTGTCCTGGGACAAGGGGGCAATTTTGGATTGTGAGGGCAAGCAGCTGCTGGGGGCTCTACTTGGGAGGGAACAGGCTGACCTGTCCCCCTTCAATTTACTCTGGTCTATTCAGCCTTGTATGAGTCTGAGATTAGCAGGTTTTGATTACTGTCGAGATTTATTTATGGGTTTCTGAAGCAAGGCCGATAAATGAGCTTGTATAGCTGAGCCAGAGGTGGTTTGTGGACATGGCTTCCACATACCTAACCTTTGGCCATTTAATTTCTCTGGAAACTTGGTCCCAAGTTGTTGGGGTCCGGCCAGAGGCACAGCAGGAGTTTTGGGGTATCAGGAAACCTGAAGACACCATCAGGATGCTGATGCATTCGCCCTGCAGGTACAGGTTGACCTGCTGGCAGCACCACACCCCCTCAAATATTCTCTTTCCAAATTGAGTCGAATTCACAGATCCCAAGCCATAGTCATATCATTTAGTGGAGAAGGAGGTCAGAAATCAACTCATGGCGAACCATAATGCCTAAAATGAGAGAGAGGAAGAGAAAGACAGAGAGAAGAGAGCTGCCTGCCATAGAGGCAGGCTGGGGTGGGGATGGGTTGGAGAGGTGGGAGAAGAAGATAAAACTTGAAAGGGGGGCGGAACTAGAGACACTGGTCCTGGGAAATTACACCGGTGGAGGGATGGCTGATGAAACATGATATAACTGAAGTGCAATCATGAACAATTTTGTAATGTTCTCTCATGTTGATTCAATATAATTAAGTACATACATAAAAAGTTAAAAAATTCAACTCAGACAGGAGTGAAAGAGTGATTTTAAGACTTTTGAACCAAACTACTGAAAGTTGGGCATTGGTACAATCAAAGCTCGGATAAGACTAAGAGAGGAAGACCATGTTGATGATGGAGAGAAGTTCTCATGGATTTTTTTTTTTTTTAATTTATTTATTGAATCACTGTGGGAAAGGTTACAAAGCCCTCAGGTTTATGTCTCAGTCATGCAAATATCAAACACATTTCCCTTTACCAATACTTATTTTTTCCCATGAAGAACCCCAATAAAACCCCACCCCCCACCCCTCCCCGTCCCTGTGAGGCAGATGAATTCTAGTTAACACTCTATCCGCTTTGATTAGATTGTTTCAATAAAAGATTCACCACTATTATTTAGAGTTTACCCCCCCCCCCCCAAATCAGACATGCTGAAAAAGCATTGTGAAGTGATTTGCTTTCTCCAGCTGGGTTCAAGAATTAAATGTTGGTTTTGGATTTCTGCTATTTTACTTATTGACCCTGGAAGTATTTCTACCGAAAGTCAGATAGTTAAGAAATTGGTTTCTGTGTTCTGGAGTCGTGGCCGTGCTGGAGAGCCGCTCATGGGGGGCAACTGGTGGCCTCGGTAGGGCGTGAAGGGCGGAGCGAAACGCCCCCCTTCCCATGAGGTTTTAGTCGCCCCCACACTCCCGGCTCATACCTGCTGTCCACAAGGCTCCCATGTGGCCGCCATCTTTCTTTCCAGAGAGGAGAGGGCGAATGGGGCAACACCCTTTCCCCTCCGGCAGACTTGATGGGCTGGATCAATGCATAGTCCATTCACTTTTCTGCTCCAAGCTGCTGGGTTCTGCATTAAGTCCTTGTGCTTCTGGGGCCATGGCCGTGCTGGAGAGCCGCTCGTGGGGGGCAACTGGTGACCTCGGTAGGGCGTGAAGGACGGACCGGAACGCCCCCCGACCCATGAGGTTTTAGTCGCCCCCACTCCCCCGGCTCATACCTGCTGTCCACAAGGCTCCCATGTGGCCGCCATCTTTCTTTCCAGAGAGGAGAGGGCGAATGGGGCAACACCCTTTCCCCTCCGGCAGACTTGATGGCCTGGATCAATGCATAGTCCGTTCACTTTTCTGCTCCAAGCTGCTGGGTTCTGCATTAAGTCCTTGTGCTTCTGGGGCCGTGGCTGTGCTGGAGAGCCGCTCGTGGGGGGTGACTGGTGACCTCGGTAGGGCGTGAAGGACGGACCGGAACGCCCCCCTTCCCATGAGGTTTTTGTCGCCCCCACACCCCCGGCTCATACCTGCTGTCCACAAGGCTCCCATGTGGCCGCCATCTTTCTTTCCAGAGGGAGGAGGGCGGAAGGGAGCAACACCCTTTCCCCTCTGGGCAGAAATGATTGCCTGGATTAACGCATAGTCCTTTCACTTTTCTGCTCCAAGCTGCTGGGTTCTGCATTAAGCCCTTGTGCTTCTGGGGCCGTGGCCGTGCTGGAGAGCCGCTCGCGGGGGGCAACTGGTGACCTCGGTAGGGCGTGAAGGACGGACCGGAACGCCCCCCTTCCCATGAGGCCCTAGCCGCCCCCACACCCCCGGCTCATACCTGCTGTCCACAAGGCTCCCATGTGGCCGCCATCTTTCTTTCCAGAGAGGAGAGGGCGAATGGGGCAACACCCTTTCCCCTCCGGCAGACTTGATGGCCTGGGTCAATGCATAGTCCTTTCACTTTTCTGCTCCAAGCTGCTGGGTTCTGCATTAAGCCCTTGTGCTTCTGGGGCTGTGGCCGTGCTGGAGAGCCGCTCGTGGGGGGCAACTGGTGACCTCGGTAGGGCGTGAAGGACGGACCGGAACGCCCCCCTTCCCATGAGGTTTTAGTCGCCCCCACACCCCCGGCTCATACCTGCTGTCCACACGGCTCCCATGCGGCCGCCATCCTTCTTTCCAGAGAAGAGAGGGCGGGATTTTTTTGTTTTTTGGTGCTGAAAATCAAATCTGGATCCTCACACATGTGGGGTCCATACTGTGCCACTAGCTACTTCCCAGATTCCTGAGAGATTTTGTGTGCGCGCGCGCACGTGTGTGTGTGTGTGTGTGTGTGTGTGTGTGTGTGTGTGGAGGGTGTTCTTTTTATTTAACTCGGCAAGGAACTCTATTAGCCATTGTTTCAAACTTTATTCCCAAGCTTCTTCAGCTTAACTAGCTGCAAAGAATGACTTGTATACAAGCAAAACAGAAAAGAGCTGCAGTGTCCAAGGGGCTTGAGCTTAAAAATATTAGATTTAGATCTTATTAGATCTGTGAACAAAATTTTTAAAAAGCAGTCATAATATAAATATATATATATAAAATAGTAGCTCTCAGTAACTTCTTCAAGTTTTATCTTCTTCAGAAGTTGACTCAGTTCAGTCTGCTGCTTTCTTGGGAGCCTCATCAAAATTCTTCAAGAATACCTAGGGTAAGGGCTGGAGAGATAGCACAGCAGGTAGAGCGTTTGCCTTGCACGCGGCCGACCTGGGTTCGATTCCCAGCATCCCCCAGTGCCCTGAGCACTGCCAGGAGTAACTTCTGAGTACAGAGCCAGGAGCAACCCCTGTGCATCGCTACGTATGACCCAAAAAGCAAAAAAAAAAAAAAAAGAAAGAAAAGAAAAAAAGTATAGCGAGGGTATTCTGGGAATCAAATTGGCCTGGTGCACAAGTTTTAGCCCTCTGTACTACCTCCCAGTCCCCCTTCCCCATGGGGGCTTCAGGCATTGAGATAAGTAAGGAATCTGGTGCCTGGAGCCTGTCCTATCTCTTGATAGTCCAGAGGACAGCTTTACTCATTTTTTCCCCTCTATTTTTGTGGTGTTGGGGCTCAAATCTGCAAATCACACGTTCAGAAGATCGTGCTTGCCCTCTGGGTCCATTTCTCCATCCTCTATTCCATCTACTTTGCCACTGAGTTGAGAGTCTTTGGCTTCCAGTTTCGTGGATTCTTTCCTCCGACAAAGTGTTCTGATAATGTCTAATTCACTTTTGTGCCTCTACCACGTTTCTACAGAAATGGTGCGGAGGTTTGCAGTCTACTAAAGCCCACACACCTTGCCTTCAGGCAGACCTGGTTTGCATAGTCTCCGCCACTCTAGGGCAAGAGACCTGAGCTTGCATCTCCGTTCCCTATTTGCAAAACGACAGAAACCGAGGGTCCTGAGCGTGCAGGTCAAGCGCCTTACCCGGAGTATCTCTCTCCGGCCCCAAGCAGTGTTTTTTTTTTAAGTGGTTAAAGCAAAGATAAACGGGGATGAGTCAAAGGTGTATGGGTGCACAGGGGATGCTCGGTAGATATAGGTGCCCTTCCGCACCTGCTGTACATTTGTCAAAGAACTAGGGTGTTGTCTGTCCCCACTCAGAGATCTCCCTGGGAAGGCTTTGTCCATCCTGAACGTCACGAGGCAACGCGGTAGAAACGCCCCACGACTGACCAGAACCTTCTGGAGAGGGACACCACCCTTAGCCTGTCTTCCGGGTGAGGGAAAAACCCGACGACTGCCTACACCTCCGCGTCGATGCCCAACATGGTGCCGCCCTGCTCCTCGTACGGAGCGCCAAGATGGCGGCCGCCGCCAGGAAGCGGCCATGTTTGCCCCACGTGACCCGGACTCCGGCCCGCGGCGGCCGGAACGTGACGCCCGGCGGGGGCGGGGAGGCTCCCGCGCAGCCTCGGCGTCGGACGTCTCGTGACAGGTACTTCCGGTCGGGGCGGCGGCGGTGGCGGAAGTGGGAGCGGAGCCGGAGTCTTGGCCATAAAGCCCGAGGCGGCGGCGGCGGCGGCGGCGTCGGAGGCTCGGAGAGCGCCCAGGAGCCGGCCGGACCCGCGACGTGGACTCGGCCCGCGCGCCCGCCCCCCCTGCTCGCACACCCTCGTCGGCGGGAGCCCCCCGCGCAGCGTCCGCGGTAAGCGGCGGGCTCGGCCCGGCCCCATCCCCCCCCCCTCCGCGGCCCGCGGCGGCCGGCCGGGCCCGGGGCCGCGCCCGGGTCAGAGGTCGCCGCCGCCAGCCCCCCGGCCGGGCGGTCGCCGCCGCCTCGTTGACAACTCGGCGCGCCGGGCCCGGTGACCGCTGGCCCCGGCCGCCCCGGGACGCGTGCGCGCGCGGGCGGCGCCGACCCTCCCCGCCCGGGTCCGCCCCGCGCCGCCGCCGACCCCGCGCCCACCCCTACCCCCCTCGGCGACCGCCGAGCCCGGGACCGGAGTCGGGTCACGTGGGCCGCGCCGGCCGCGCACACGCACGCGGGCCCCGCGAGCACCGTGTCCGGAGCGGCGCGTCCCGGCCGGCCGGCCAGCGCCGGAGAAGTTCTCAAACTTGGGGGGCCGCGGGCCGGGGGGCCGGCGTGTCGGGCACGCGCCTCCCGACCTCTGCTGGACGCGCCGTGGGCAGCCGGGAAGAGGGGGAGCCCCGAGAACCCAATAATAATAATGATGATAATAACGATAATAGCGATCGTGGGGCGCGCATTGTGTGCACCGCCGCGCGCGCGCCAGCCTCTTCCGCAGACTCCGGGGGTCGATTCTCAGACCTCCCAAGTGCCCGGGTAGTGCCCACTGGCGGAGAAGGGGCCAGTCTGGAGGACCGGAGAGGCTCGTTTAACGGAGGCCACCTGGCCAGGGAGGATGGATGTGGGGTGGCAGGCCCAGGCCGTCCGCCCTCGGGGCCCTGGGCCCGGCCTGCTGGTGGAAGTGACCAGAGATGCCCCGGAGACGGGGTGGGGGGGTTCTGTCTCCTGCCTCCTGTCCAGTGCGGTGGTTGGAAGCGGGGCTCTGCGCGCTGCCCTTGGGCCCTGCCGCCAGCTGTTGAGTCTGCAGCTGGGACGGGCTTGTAGGGTGGGAAGCGAGAGCTCTGTCCGCCCGGGACTTCGGGCGGGCTGGAAAGTTGGCCACCGCCGTCCCTCCGACGTGTGAGGTCTGGCAGCCCGGTCCGTGAACTTTGCCTGCAACCTTGAGCGGTCCGTGGTCAGCCGTTGGGTGCTTTCCTGTCGAAAATACTGTATGTGCTCTTTGGATGGCGAAGAACAGACCCTTGTCTTTCTCCTTGTGACTTAAGGCAGCTGATTTGCCCGCATGACTTCTGGTCCCTGGATTAATGAAGTCTCCTGTTAGCCGGTGCCCTCCCGCAGCCTTGGGGGTCCCGATCTGAATCTGGGATCTGGGTAGGAGCCGTGAGGAGCCGCCCCCGCTGAAGCTGAGAACTCAGGACGTGTTGTTTTAGAACTTCCTTTGCTGGTTAGGGATGAGCCATGTGAGTAATTAGGCTGGTAGCCTCAAAGAATGTTTCCAGTTCAGAGAAGAGCAATTGGTGAACACCGTTCCGACATTCATCAGATGTTTTTGAGTGGCTCCCATATACCAGGCATTACTGGATATTGACTCAGGGAGATAGGCATGGGTCCTGTCCTCAAGGAATTTTAAATGGTGAGTATTCATAGCCAGGAATTCTGTTGTGGAATGGCTTGGCTCTCAGCAAATTGGGATTTTTTTGTTTGTTTGTTTTGGGCCATACCCTGCGAGGCTCAGGGGTTGCTTCTGGCTCGGCACTCAGGAATTACTTGTGCTAGTGTCGGGACCGTCTGGGATGCTGGGGATCGAACCCAGGTCCGCGGCATGCAAGGCGGACTGCCTGCCCTCTCTGCTATCACTCTGGTCCCTAACTTGAGATTTTGGGGAAGAGGAGTTTGGGGAGTGGGGGCAGCCTTCCCAGCATTGCTTGGGGACTCCAGGGACCTCACTGACAATTCTCAGTCAGCCAGAGGAGCAGTTCAGAACAAGGCCCTGAGGAGGTGGTGCCACCTGGGCCCTGTGGCATTGAGATGTTCAGGCTTCCTGGGAGTGCTGGGAGCCTCCAAAGCGGCACCTGGTGATGCTCAGGGGACCATTTGGTGCCTGAAATCAAATCTGGATCCAGGGCTTGCCTTGCGTGCAGCCAACCTGGATTCTCCTTGGTACACCCAAACCCTGCCAGGAGTGAGCCCTGAGCACCGTGGGGTGTGGCCCAAAAAAACAAAATCAAAACAAATTCTGGTGGGGCTCAACCGCCTCGGGCCCCTGGAAAGTGGAGTTACTAATCCAGTCTCTTGGTGTGACTAATTTGAAGGTTTGGCTCACTTGGGGTTGGTGGCGTGAGAGCCAAGCCCGGCAGTGCTCAGAAGATGCCTCCTGCATCTCCTGGGGGCCTCCCGGGTGCAAAAGCACATTGTGACCTTAGCCACAGAATTTGTATAGTTTGCTTTTGAAAAGAGCAATTCTAGAGAGGATCATATTACAGTTTCTAATTGATCAGTCTTTGAATTGTAACCTTCAGTACTAAATTTGTTTCTTTTATTCTTGTGGCTTTTTTTGGGGGGGGGGGGATCTTTGTAATTGCCATTTTGTACTGTAAGCATCATTTGTTATCTTGCTCCAGCTAGGCATTCTTTGGCACACTGGATTTCTTTTTTCTTCAACTGATGAGGAAAGTTTGTGGTTCCTCCTAGTCACAGACCCGAGTCATCTCTGACGGAAACCTCTGATGCCCCTCCCCGTGACGACTCCGACCCACCTCCTTTAACAGGGGCTGTCCCGGGGCTTCCCAAGCTGCCCAAGCATGGCAGGGAGGGCATTTGCCCTGCATGCGACTGACCTGGGTTCGATCCCCATCATCCCATATGGTCCCCTGAGCATCGCCCGGTGTGCCCCCCCCCAAAAAAAAAAAGTGGCCATGATATGGGGGCTGCAGTTCAGTGGTTAAGCTCTGGCCTTGTGTGTAGGAGGCAAATTTGAACTCTAGCGCACCAAAAAGATCAGTGGGTCGTGAGTTTTGCCTTGGTGGTGGAACAGCATGAATAAACAAACAGAAGGGTGGAATGTAGAAGACACTTTTAAAAATAGCTTTATAGGTCTGTTCCTCCAGGTAATTATTAGCAACCACTTGTGCCTGTGTGTACAGCCCAGACAGCCTTGCCTGAGTCCTCCCAACTGCACAATCAGAGTCCTGCTTTAGGGCCGGCTCTGGCTTTGAATCTGATTCTCGATCCCTCTGCCAAGTGAAGCCAAAAAAAATTAAATAGATAAAAAGAAAGCTTTATATAAATGTGCGTGCATGTGTAGGCATTTCATTTACGTGGTTCACATTGTGTTCTGGCGTGTATATGTTTTAGGGGTGCTGTGTTCCCACACTCCTCCACTGCAGTGCCAGCATCTCCCACCACGTGCTTGGGACTCCTCATACCCCTGGCCCCCCACCCGTTTACTATTTTGGCTTTTGAAAAATCTCCAGAGAGAGGCACTCAGAAAAAAAAAAAGAAAGAAATCTGCCGTTACATTTTGTATTTTACTTTCTGTAACAAGCCTAAACTGCATCTGTGACCAACCTTACCATCGTTTGTGAGATTTACCGTCATTCCTGCCATGAATTGTCTTAATTCTCCCTCTGTGAGGCAGTGCCCATGGCTGAGGGTTTTCAGGGAGTCCGGACGAGGTTTTCTGAGGGAAGGAGGCGCAGCCTGAGTAACGCTGCTGAGTGATTCCCTGACACTGATGTCATCCTCTGGAGCTCTGGAAATCACATCTGTGTGTGGCACCCCCTACACACACACACACACACACACACACACACACACACACAGACAGGATCCCGGAGCACTGGGCTCTTTCCTCTCCCTTTGGCGGTCACTGCTGAGCCCTCACCGCCCTTTCCTGCGAGTGTGTCCTGTGTGCTCCGTTTCTCATTGTCGTTGCCTGCAGAGATGTTTACAGTGTGTGGTTCTCTTAAGTTGTTTGTTCTCACACCTTCCCTGTGATCTCGGCCTTGTCCTTCCCATCCAGGGTATCAAACCGGGGGGAGGGGGAGAACCAAGACAAAATCCAGGTGGATTTCTGTGTGAAAGGTTCTCGATGGTGACTGTGGCCTGTGGGGTCTTGAATCGAAGGTGAAAGTGGTGTGGTGGGTGAAATCAGAACTGGCTTCGCGGTGTCTCCAGCTAGTTTCAATTTTAGTACTCCCAGGCTGTGATTTCAAAAACAAATGCAAGAATAGCTACTTGCAAAATGTCTCTGTGGGGGAGGACGAGAGCTGGGGAGTTGGTTCCAGTGGTGACATGCTGTATCGGCCTTTTCGTTTGCCTGGAGATGTGCTCGGTCGGCGCGGGCCGGCTCTGGCTCGGTGCTGGTGATGTCATCACTGCCGTGACCATGAGGCTGAGGCTGTTTCCTGGTTGTCTGGACTGCTTGCCTGGGGACAGGGCAGCCCTGCAGAAGGGCTTTCAGGGAGCCGGGGAGTGTCACCTTGGCAGGCTCCAAGACAGGCTGTTGTGAGCGGTTTGGGGCGAGGGCTTCGGGAAGGGTCTCCTGGCTCTCAAGTGTAGACAGTGACCACTTGCTGGCCTTTCTCCAGGGAGCCAGTTCATGCCAGGATCCTGAATCATTACTGTGAAGGGACTGGTTGCACCGCTGCTGGCCTATCCTTGGGGGCAATTTCAATTAAAAAGTTATTTTCCATTTGATGAGCGTTTCAGTTTTTATTTTTATTTTAGTTTCTGGGGCCACATCCACCAGTGCTCAGGGTTTATTCCTGGTTCTGTTCTCAAGGATCACTCCTGGTGAGGCTCGGGAAGGAGGGGGAATGCCCTATGGGGTGCTAGGGATCAAAATCCAGGCCAGCCCCCCACACACCATGCAAGGCCAGTACCCTTCCTGCTGAACTATCTGTCCAGCCCAAAAGTTTCAGTTTCTAGTTGTTTGACAGTACATGACAAAGGTCCTCTGAGCTAACTTAAGAAACCCAGTTATAACAGACTTAATGAAAACCAAAAAAGAAACCCAGCTCTTAGATATTATGGTTGTCACTCTACCCAAACAATTCTCTGAGCACTTAGAAATCTAGGGCCCCTTCCCCCCAGGTTATGCTGGATCATCTTGGCAGTTC